GCCTATGTCTCAGGGAAAATCAAAAAAAAAAAAAAAAAAAACAGAACGAAAACGAAAATTAGAAAAAAGCGAGACGGGAAGGGAAAAGGGTTGACGGGGTTCACGGTTGCACGTGAGGCGTGTTCGATTCTACGATGAAGGACACGAGTTGGTCTACATCCAACCTCCGCATAAGAGGCTAGCGAAGGTAGCCGAAGCGTAGCCTCGATTCGCGCCAGATCTCTGACACGTATATATTCGTAGCCAGGGAAAAAGGACGAGAAACGCGAGACTAACGAGGAATCTGTGCGGTGATTTCCATGTTTCAGAGAGGAAACGAGGCCGGCAAACGTACACCCGATACCAAACCCTCGAGCTGGAGAAGGAGTTCCATTTCAACCGATACCTGACCAGGCGGCGGCGCATCGAGATCGCGCACGCACTGTGCCTGACGGAACGGCAAATCAAAATCTGGTTCCAAAACAGACGGATGAAGTGGAAGAAGGAGAACAAGACGAAGGGCGAGCCAGGCTCGGGCGACGGCGACACCGAGATCTCGCCGCAGACGTCGCCGCAGGGTTGAGAGATCCCCGTCCACCCCACTCATACAGCAATGACGCTTATTTTGTCGTGTTAATCAAGTTGCTCGTACCAAAAAAGGAGAGGACAACGTAAGGGATAAACGGGATAGAGACGAACGTGGAAGAGAAATGAACGTGGCCGACAGTGTGGATGGAAGTGAAGACGTGAACAGGACGATGACAAAGGGACGAAGGGATAAGGACAGAGAGGGAGAGATTGCGCGCGCGAGAAGCAGAGAGAGAGAGAGAGAGACGGAGAGAGCGAGACAGGGAAGGGAATGCGAGATAAGAGAGTCGGAGGATCGGAGCGGAAAGGAGCAGAGAGGGACACGGACCGTGTATAAAAGGAAAGAAAAAGGAGAGGAAAGGGAACCGGACACACGAACGAGTCGGATGAAGATTTATAGGGACGCGCGAACTTCTAATAATCACGTAATGCCGAGGAAAAAGCGGAGAAGAGAGAGATGGATTGGATCGGATCGGAGGAAAACTGGATCACATGCTAATCAGAACCGCGTTAACCTCTATTACATTTAATCGAATGTAATTGTACTAAAGCCTATAATGATAGATATAATTTGGCAGAGTAAGAACGACAGAGAGAGAGAGAGAGAGAGAGAGAGAGAGAGAGAGAGGCAGAGAGCATGGGAGCGAGAGAATGCGTGAGAAAGAGAGAGAGTGTATGCGAGAGAGAAGAGAAGAGCGAGAGCGAGAGCCAGAGTGCGAGAGAGAGAGAAAACAAATATACGTACTTTAAAACACGAGTGACGTGAAAGTTACGCGAGTTGTACGAGATCGATCCTTGTAATTGTATAGTAGAGTATGAATGAGCCTCTGTGAAAGCGTGTACAATGACATGTACGTATATATACGTGCATATACGTATGAATATATAAATATGTATACATACATATATATGTATACGTACAGAGCACGAAGCGAAAATGCGAGGTACGCGAATTCTACGCAAGGACGAGAGCGAAGGGCGAGTATGAGAGATCTGTGTTGATCGCGAGATGGTGAATCTTTCGTGGAGAAAACGTTGTATCGCGTGGAAAATTATCCTTTAGGAAAGCGTTTTATTATTTATTCTCTTACACGTCGTACACGCGTAGAGTCCGTAGTGCGGTTAGATGATAAAAGAATGAAAACTAGCGAAAACAGGACGGTCGTCCAAAATCGTGTCTCTATTTAGCGAGTAGATGAACGGTTTAGTGTTCTTTAGAGGATCGTTTAGATAGGTTTTTCTCTATAATACCGCGGTGGCTCAGCGAGGGTTATTTAGTAATCGCGAACGTGCCAAGTGTGATCTTCGAATGTGTGTTTCTCCAGTGCCGGGAGGATTCGAAATGGTAAAGAAGAACGAGGGACGAAGTTCCGGTAGAAACGATGGCTGCACACTTAACTCTATATCCAGCTAAGGGACGAAGTTACGGAGGGCTTACGCAGAAGATGAAGGGACGAAGGAAAAATCATTGCGATTCGATTACGTTGTCGTGGAACCAGTGAAATATCAGTGTGTGCTTGTACGCAATCCGTTAAATTCCAGTGATTTTTTGGTGATCGATCGAATCTGTCGATATGCCAGTAGTCTCGGCCAATCGCGAACACGTCGAACGAAACGTCGGGGAATCCTTTTCTCCGGACAGTGTGCTGATCGAATGAATGAAAACAGTGCTGTTAGGAGTGCGGAGGCCTCCGGCGGAGCAGAATCGAACCTGCTTGACATTTCTTCATCAGTGTCTCATCGCAAGGTCAGTTACCAAATTCTATACTTGATTGCAATTCCCTGTGTGTTCATTCTCGCTCATTTCTTTTTCCGACTTCTTCGTTTCCGTGATTCGAATACTTGCTCGAATAATATTCATGGTCATCCTTCGAGTTTGCTCCTTCGATCGTATACTGCTTGAAGAACATGTCAAAGTGGACCCTCTTTATTTATTCTCGTCAGGCGTGCAACTAAAACATTACGGGTAATGCATCGCTGTGTATTATAATTATGCATTTCTTTCGCAACCAAAAGAATCGCGGCTACTTGAGAAAAAGGTGTTTCCCAACTTACACGACGTCCAGTCTCCTTTCTATCGGAAATATTCTTCTTAACTTATTCGCAAGCTTCGTTACGCAAACGTACTACAATGTCCTTCGGAAACTCGTACACTTTGTTGCGAACACCTTTCATCAACGTAGATGGCGTCACGGAGTATCTGAAAACTGTTTTACGAATTTGTGATACACTATTCGCTGCGTTTTCATTTCCCTTGTAAATATTCGAAATAACGTTTAAAATATTCGTTAAAAAACGGAAAAAAGAATAAAAGAAAAACGACTCCGATGAGAGAGATCCTCGATAGGACCAAAACTCGGGGAATCTTCGGGGGCGAGTGACCATTGAAAATTTACTGCTGCTCCGCGAGATACGAGGCCAAGTTACCAAGTGATGTAATTCGTAGCATATTTTTGGAATAGGATGCTTTCGGCATGAAACCGCTTGGCACCTTAACAGCGAACCTAGAGAGCAGAGCCGCCAACAGAAAACGCTATCCCGCGTTTCCTTAATTCGAAGCATTTCTCCACGAGGAAAGAAAAATCTGAAAGAATAAAAATAGCAAGAAACACATCCTCTCGTGATTCGATGAAATATACTGCGCTGTTCAAGACTACTTCCACTCGAATAATTTTCATTCACTCACAGACGAAACGCGAACGATGTTCGATGAAAGACGTACAGTCAAATCAAATACGGTTTACCTATAACCTAAACGCGAGCGTGCGAAGTATGCTTGATCAGAGCAGCTTTAATGGTAAATAAATCCAACTCACTGTTTTACCATGGGCGCGTAATCACTGTTTGAATGCATGTCAACTATGATCCCTGTTCCCGGTAGCTCGCATCCTCGTCAAAATACGCAGCAGCTCTGTTCAGATGCTCGCGTCCGTCGAACGCGTTAAGCGTGCCAAGCAGTGACCAAACGCACCATCTGTCGGCCCGGTCGATAAAATACTCGCGATCGATGACGGATCGACGACGTCGAATCGTGGACTCCGGACAACGGCGTCGTCGCGTCCTTCTGCCGGGCTGAAGACACGTCGGAGAACTCTGCCGCGGCGAATTCTTGTGCTGTGTTGTAAAACTTAGATCGACATAATTTAGTTTATACCTTGTATACACGCAATTTAACGATATACGTAATAAACGATAATTAACGAATACGTAATAATGTATAAACGATGACGATGATGAAAAAGACGGTATTTAAACAGAGCGAAAAAAAAAAAAAAAAAATGAAAATGATTAAAAAAAAGAACAAAAAAAGAAAAAAGTTAAAAGGAAATAAGAGGAATATAGATGTACATAGGAGGAAATAAACTGGGGATCTCGCGAATCTCGTTTACATGTAGATCGCGCACGGGTTCGAAGAATGTTCCCGTGGGACGCGAACGGTGTCCCGCGAACTTTCTTCCGGCCCGTTCTCGCATTAACGAGAGAAAAAAAAAAAAATAAAAAGGAGAAACGATCATGCGGAGGGAAAGAAAAAAAAAAAAGAAAAAAGATGGGAGATATATGGAACTGATATACGTAATACATGGTCCAGCTCGCGCACGCGCATCGATTGAGCACCGGCCGGCCTTTCTTTCTCGAGAGATTTATTTATGTATAACTTTTTGTCCTTGAGGAGCAACGAACTGTGAAAAACGGAAGATCGTCGACGATCGCTCGCTGTCTCTTGCGAACAGTTCTTCTTTTTTCGGGGGGAAGCGCCGAAACCCGTACGTTTACGGTCAGGGGTCGTGATTCTAAATTGCTCGGGCAAATTGGCGTCAATTAAGCTCGATAGCCCGTCGAGGGGCTTCGCGTTGCTGTCGGTATGGGTTTTCGTGAAAGTTTCAAGGAAAGAGGAACACCGGCGATAAATAACGTACCTTCGATTTTCGTTCTGATCTACTTACCGCGAATTCTTTTCTTTTTTTCCTATATTTCGCTTCATTGTGCCTAGCCACGCCGGGCTAGCGAGACAGTTTTGCAGGTTAGGAAAAGGTTATCTTTGTCCTAGCTCTTTACATCGAAAGTTACTTAGTGAAGATATACGCACTTTCCGTATCGCTGTTCGTTATTGAAACGGACCTCAACGAATAGAATGCACTTCATTTTCTTCGTCAGAAATATTTTCACACCACACGTCCGTAACACATTCGTCGTACATTCGTCGCACATTCGTCGAACTGTCAACCGGTGGGATTTTTTGCTCTGTCGGTGAATTCGAGATCGACGCCGATTAGTCGTTAGCTTTTTACCATTCGAGCAAAAGTTATCGATCGTATATCACGTTGATTAGCAACTTTTCTCCCTTTCTCGTCGAAAATTGAGGTGTCGCCTCTCGCATTATCGATTACACCGCACGCCGTAAAATCGATTAATCTCACACGATTTAGGTGCGATTTTTGCACGTTTCGCGGTAGGTAAGTGAGACATGTGTTAATTCTGGCTGCATTAATCAGTGATACCATCTATGTAGGCCAGGTAATGGCCGGCATTGAAGCGTAGGGTGCGGCTTTCGAGACAAAGGAAGTATTTATTGCCCTTGCGTCATACTATCAACTGTTACGACATAGTGGTCAACAGTGTAGGCAAAATTTCACGCATAAATGCCTGCCTGACAAACCGTTTTCAGAGACTTTTCGCGGGCACTAGGTTGGCAACATTAATCCTCGTTGCATGTTCAGTTGATTGGCAAAAGCACGTTCACATTGTTGTGTCTCAATTTATATGTGCATATGTTTATAACGGATAGCTGAATCGATCGATCGGAAATATTCTTTCTACGGTTCTTTGTTTATTCAAGGTCTCGCGGGGCGCGTAGAAACGCGAAAAATTTGTTTGCTCTTTATTGGTAAATTTATCACCGGTATTTCTCTTACCAGCAATGGTTCGTGACACGTGAAAACAGTATTGTGCAATAATCACGCGGCGTGCTCTACGATAACCGCCCGTTACTCAATCTTC